TATATATAATGTGTGTCTATCAAGTCGAAACATCAATCAGTCTGTCTATCGAATCGAAACATCAATCAGTCTATTTACCTACCTATCAAGACAACCATCGGGGCAACCAACTGCTCATAACCCCAAACTTCCGACCCATCTATCTATTTGCCTATCCATGTATTTACTTATCGGTCGATTTACCTATCTGGACAAACATCGGGACCACCATCGGGACAACCACTATCAATCGGGGCAACAATCGGGGCAACCATCAGGACAACAATCGAGACAACCATGGGGACAACCATCGGGGCAACCATCAGGACAACCATCGGGACAACCAGCGGGACAACCATCGGGATAACCATCGGGACAACCATCGGGACAATCATCGGGACAATCATCAAGACAACAATCAAGACAACCCGCGGGACAACCAAGGGACAACCGCGGGACAACAATCGGGGCACGCGCCCGCCCGGGGGTGGGGCGGCCCACTGGGCTCCATGTGACATCTACCAATGCAATAACTCGCGCAGCTTCGCCTCGACCGCACGCACGACACGAACCGAAACCGAAACCGATTTCCCGGGTCACTTCTGTTCTTAGCCCCCAACCTCCGATCTATGTATCTATATATATATACACATCCACCTATCCATCGCTGTGTCCGCCCTCAGTAATCCACCATCGGGACACCATCGGGCCAACCATCGGGGCAACCATCGGGACAACCGTCGGGACAACCATCGGGCACATCATCGGGACAACCATCGGGACGACCGTCGGGACAACCATCGGGACAACACCGTCCGGAAAACCATCGAGCCAACCATCGGGACAACCATCGGGACAACCATCGGGACAACTATCGGGACAACAGTCGGGGCAACCATCGGGACAACCGTCGGGGCAACCATCGGGACAACCATCGGGACAACCATCGGGCACGCCATCGGGTGAACCATTGGGACAACCATCGACACAACCATCGGGACAATCATCGGGGAAACCATCGCACCACCATCGGGACAACCACCGGACACCCATCGGGACACCCATCGGGACAACCATCGGGTCAACCACTGGGATAGCACCATCGGGACAACACAATCGGAACCACCATCGGGACAACCGCCGGGACAACCATCGGGACAACCATCGGGACAACCGCTGGGACAACCATCGGGACAACCATCGGCACAACCATCGGGACAACCATCGGGACACCCATTCGGACAACCATCGGGCAAACAATCGGGTCACCCATCGGCACAACCATCGGGACAAACATCGGGACACCCATCGGCACAACGCACAACGACCATCGGGACAACCACCATCGGGTACACCATCGGGTCAACCATCGGGACAAGCATCGGGACAACACCATCGGGACCACCATCGGGACAACCGTCGAGAAACCAATCGGGACACCCATCGGGACAACACCATCGGGACAACACCAACGGTACAACTCAATCGGAACCACCATCGGGACAACCGCCGGGACAACCATCGGCACAATCATCGGGACAACCATCGGGACAAGCATCGGGACAACCATCGGCACAACCATCGGGACAACCATCGGGACAACTATCGGGACAACCATCGGGCAAACAATCGGGTTAACCATCGGCACAACCATCGGGACATCCATCGGCACAACGCACAACCTCCATCGGGACAACCACCATCGGGCACACCATCGGGTCAACCATCGGGACAAGCATCGGGACAACACCATCGAGACCATCATCGGGACAACCGTCGAGAAACCAATCGGAACACCCGTCGGGACAACACCATCGGGACAACACCAACGGGACAACACCGTCGGAACCACCATCGGGACAACCCTCGGGACAACCATCGGGACAATCATCGGGACAACCATCGGGACAAGCATCGGGACAACCATCGGCACAACCATCGGGACAACCATCGGGACACCCATCGGGACAACTATCGGGACACCCATCGGGACAACCATCGGTGGCATGCTGATCGAAGACGCCTGCGGCGAATCACCGCCGCCCCCTGCCTTCTAGAATCGCCCATGTGGCCGAGAGTTGTGGCAAGAGCTCCGCCAAGCTATCGGACCATGTATTCCCCGAACCGTTGTGGAAACCCTTCGAGGAACACTTGGTGGAGGATGTCGGGAAGATCAGGAGGAGGCGGAGCAGGAGGAGGAGGATAAGGAGGAGGAGTAGGAGGATAAGGTGGAGGAGGAGAGGGGGTATCTTGGGAGCCTATGGGGGGCACTTTTGGGGCCTCCTGAGAGCTTCCTGGGAGCCACTTGGAGGCATCTTGGGGGCCTCCTTGGGCCTCTTGGGGGCCTTTAGCGGCTTCTCGGGGGCCTCTTCGGCAATCTTGGTGGGCTCCTGGCCCGTCTGACGCCGTCGCCGTCTTGGGGGCATCTCTGGACCGACTCGGGGCCCTCTTTGGGTGCTCCAGGGCCGTCTTGGAAACCATCTTGGGCGTCTTGGAGGCCTCTTGGGCCGTCTTGGGACCCTCTTGGAGCCGTCTCGGGGGCCTCTTGGGCCTTTCTGGGGCAATCCTGAAGGCCTCTTGGG